AACTCCATCACATTACGAGGGGGAATTAAGCTTCTACAAGGAAGGTGCAAGCTGCAATTAACAGCTAAGTAAAACACACAAAACACCTGGTTTCTGTATCATGACTTTTCCCTAGAAGCCAAATGGCATTCCCAGCTAATGACCTCATTGGTGTCATAATCCTGTAGCTGTTGAGGTCTTGGCATTACATCAGTTACCTTTTTCTTCACCCTTCTCCATTAAAGCCTCGCTCTGGCTTCTCCCCATAACAAACCAGCTGCTTCAGCCTTCATTTGCCTCTCTTCTGACCCCTCCTGCTTTCAGTGCCAGCTCATCCTTCTGGCTGTCCACCCTCTGACAGTGTTGCCTTCCATTGCTCTCTGGAGTACCATTCCTCTACTTGCCTTGCAGGCCCATCCTGTCCAGCTTCTGCATTTGAGCTCTGGGAATCTGCTCTTGGTAATTTCTCTTAAAAGTCTCTAATAAGGCAGAAATTGCCCGGAAAATTAATTCTCTTTTCACCAAAACTTTTCCTTTGGCTTCTTGGGAGGCTGTTTTAAAGAGAAGTACACTGTCCTCTCCTTGCTGTTAGGGCAAGAAACCATAGGCTCTAACTGCAATATGTAAGACTGGTTGGATGCTAGGAAAATGTACTCATGGTGGGAGTAATGATGCACTGGAACAGAGAAGATTGTGAAATCTGCAGTTATGTAGCCCTTGCTGAACAGAAAATAACAACATGTCTGAAGTGATCTTACTTTGAGCAGTAGAAAGAGTAGAAAGCTCAGTGGTTCCAGTTTCAGCTCTATTTTGGCTCCTTCAGGGGTGCTCCTAAGGAATCTCTTCGTTGTCGTGAAAGGGTCATGCAGCTCTACATTTTATGTCTCTTTGCTCTTCCTTTACCTCCACCTAACCTCATGCACAGCTTGAAATGCTCTCTTGCACAGTGGCCATCAGATGTACCTCTTTCTGTTTGAAGTGAAACTGTCTCACTAAAGTGCGTGGGGTAAATATAACAAACCAGCAGTGATGTGGCAGCAGAGTGTGAAGTTATGAGGAGGTTTTCAATCACAATTTCAGGAACCAGCCTAGCTTTAACAACAAGTTCTATCACATCCATCCCAGGGCAAAGGATTTGATGCCTTTGAAGTAAAAGGGATTTCCCCCTCCCCACCCCTTTTAGGACAGTTTTCGTTTTTTGGATAAAAATTCAGCTTACAGGATGGATCAAAAATAAAAATAATGCCAAAACAGGACTTGCTGTTCTGCCACCTTATCTTGAGCAATGTCACCTCATGCAGTCTCACCCTTAGCCAAATACTGACTCACCACCAAGGGCTTAGCAGCGGAAAAGGAGAGAGGGCATTCCAGATGAGAGAGCAGCTCTCCTGGCTGGAATCCTGGCAGGGAGTGAGAGGCACGTGTTTGAATCAGAGGGACTCGAGCTGCTGTGCTGAAAAGTTGTTAAAAGCCAGAATGCAAGGGGGCTGCTTTGCTACTGCTTGCTGCAGGGAGGTGCAGCCTCCTCTCCTGGAGGGTTTGTGTTCAAAACACGACTGGGAGCCCTGAGATGCCGCACCCAGCTGAGGCTCCCAACAGGCAACTGTTTGCTTTTCTCTGGAGAAGGGTTTGGGCCCAGGGAACTGGTGTTCAAACACAAGTCTCTGCACAGCCCAGGTCCTGGTATAGCTCCCCTGGCTCCACCTTGGCCCTGAGAGAGCTTGGGTTGCCAGCAAGGGCTGTGGGTACCCTGTGTTCTCTACAAGGGGAGCTCCATGCCCTGTTTCTGATTTCTTCTTACAGCAGGGGAGTCACTAATCCCTGCCTGCCTCTGCTTTGAGGTCTGCAGGGAATGTCCAAAGCAGGCACAGCTGAATACATAATGGCACACTCTGCCCATGCTCAAACAGAACACCAGAGTGCTACCAATCTTTCTTGAAGACAACTCTTCCAGCATCCACCACAAAGTCTAGCCCTGGGAGTGGAGACACAAACCATTGCACCCTCTGCTTTCTCTGCTGATGGATGTGTTTTACTTTTGAATCTTAAATCACTCTGCCAAGGGTTCTTGGAGCAGATGCTTTTCTCCTCCTGGGTCAAAGAACAGGGAGAAAATGAAGCTGCCACTGTCAGCAGCTTATAGTTTCCATTGTTCTGTGCTATGAGACAAAGCAACCCCGTCTTTGCCAATGCTCCTTAGCAAAAGCATTGCTTTTGCAGTGGTCATTGCAATCTTCTTGCCTTGTTGGTCCAGCTCACCTACATCTCCAGAGTTTCTTCCCATTCAATCTGTTTTTGGCTTGTTTGTGAAGAATATGCCTGTTTGCAAAGGCACCTGTGTCTTGTGACCAGTAAATCCTGGTGGATGGAACCAGACATCAGGGTTCCTCTCAATATGCCTAAAGGCACCTCATGCAGAAGGAGCACAAGTGCAGCCTCTCCTCCTTGCAGTGTTGCTGCTGCTGGAAGCAAATGATTTCTGGAACAAGCCCTGATATGAGGCAGCAAGTGCGTCAGACCTTATAGTAGGGGAACCACGTGTTTGAGTTTCCTATTCCATGAATGAGGCTGGCCAGGCCTGATTCATCACCGAGGCACGCTGGGGAGAGAGGCACTCAGCTCATTTCCTCTGCATTTTATTTGTTCCTGCATGTGCTGTGATCCCAAAAGCACTGGGGAACAGAGGAGCTGCATACCAGGACAGCAAGTGGTAGGAGGAGAGGACATGTAGAGAGATTAGGAGAAGCCTTGCCTCCAAGCACTTCCCCTTTGCTCCATCGTTCTTTGCACTTGCAGTTAAAGCACTGCTGGGACATATTGCTGCTGGCATAGTGCACAGAAAGACACTGGAAAAGGTGCTGGAAGCCAGTGAGACAGGAGCAGTGATGATAAATGTTAAATGTTAAATGAATGTAAATAGGGGATAGGTGAAAGTAGATAACATTCATTACTAACACTGCACTGTTTCCACGTTTCATTGTCATTTCATTCATTTCATTTCATTTCATTTCATTTCATTTCATTTCATTTCATTTCATTTCATGTCCTCCCTAGATTTCTTACTGATTACTATAAAAAAAATATCCTGGAAATCTGGCCATTCTTATCTCCATCCAGGGAAGAAGAAAGCAGAAAAAGTATTGCCTTTCTGAGTCACAGTTTTTTGGAAGCTGTGTGTGTGCATGTGTGTTTGCATGGTTTGCCTGTGCTAATATGTAAAGTAGTGCAGAAGTAGTCAGTAGTGCAGAAGCAGGACAAGAACGATTTCCCTGCAGCATTGGGGATGGATCTGAGCAAAGCAGGAGCAGCAAAGGTGTTGTCTGTGCAAAGCTCAGTCAAGACGCACAGCCTCACTATCTTCCCTGGAGCCATAGACAGAAGTGATGTCTCCATAGTTCCTGATGGAGGGGATGCCATGGCAAAGTGCACCCAGGGACAGGAAAGTTGCCCCAAATATTGCTCAGCTTTTCCTTAAAATAATTAACACTGAACACATACAATTTTGAAGGACATACCTCTCCCACACATGCCTAAAAGATTTCACCATTGCCCAAGAAGGAAATAAGAAGATGTCTCATGCTTCATTATCTCTTGTCTGATTTTAAAAGTAGTTTTATAATGTTTTATGGATATTCTATCCTAGGGTTAAAGGTGATTACAAATAAGTCATAAACTATTTCATAAGGAGAGGTGTCTCCTAGGTAGATGGATATATCTGGACAGCTGGTTTCAGTGAGGTGATGGCTCAAGTACTTCAGTGGCCTTATAACTCTCCAGGTCAGCCTTACCTTTCCCCAGCACTGGGTAGGGCTGGCTGTTCTGTCAGGTGAATTTACCGTGAATCTTTAGCTCTACAAGGTCCCAGAGCTGCCTTGATTTAGTTACTGTTAATTTTTCCATTGGTGCAGTTGTAAAAATTGTGTGTTTATATATATATATAAATATAAGTGCTAAACAAATAAACTATGTCAGCTCTTAGAAGAAAAATACTTTATTCATTAAAACTAAACCACGCAGTTCTGACTCTGCTTCTACTAATAAAAACACCTTGGCACTGTAGTCAAACAATTCCCATTAATTGTGCACGTTTTTTGTTTTCAGAGCAATGCACAAAGAAAATCAAACCTGAATGCATTATATTAAAGAAAGGACAGGCAAGGTTTCAGCTACCATGTATGCTGCTCAGCCAGGGCAATGTGCTCAACAAATCTTAGAATAAAATTGAGGTATTTTGTGTGAAAGTTGTCCTTTCTTCAGCTGGATCTGTTTTTACAGTGACTCCCGAATTGTAATGTCTGTGGCAGACATTGTAAAAGGTAGGTGGAAATTGTTCCACTTCATGTTACCAGTGAAAGGTTAATGCTAATGAATAGGGATTAAAAGTTCTGAGGTTTAAACATGGCTTCATGTCCCCCAAAAGTTTAAGAAATATTACTTTAATTAATATGGTGTTTTGCTTCTTAAGCAGAACAGCTTTATTTGAATTTTGCTCATATAATGATTAGTAACAGTTCTCACTCATTGACTGCATTTTGATGAATAAGGATATACAGACTTGGATGATAAATTTTTCAGGCAACTTGCAAGAAAAATTACCAGAAATAGTCCTGTTTGCACATAGACAGTAATGTCCCCGGAGGAAAGAAAAGCAATAGGCAAATTACACCTTTAGTTCAAGTTTCCACTTTAGTGTTAGAAGTTCCATGTAAAACGAGAAAACCCCAAAGAGCTGTGCCAAGCTATTTGCTCTCCCCCTCGCTTTCAGCCGAGGGACTGGGAACATCCTCTGGCCAGGGTGCGACAGGTCGTCCTCATTTTCCTCCTCCCACGGCACTCCTGGGCCGGCAGCGCGTGGCGGTCCCCGAGGGATGCTCGAAGGGTTGCTGCTGCCGAGTACAAGGCAGGAACCTTCCCGTCGAGGAAAGAGGGAAGATCTGCCTGACCGCCAGCAAGCCGGACAGTTCCTGCTTCCTTCCAGCCGGTGTTTTCTGTTCCTAGTTCGGCTGTGAATTGTTCCCCGCTTAGTTGCAGTCCCCGCCGTTGTCGGGACGGGGAAGCCGTTCCTGGAAGCGGGAAAGGCAGGCGGGCCCGGGGCGGCCGGCACGGACTCCGCTGCCCGTCTTCCCGCAGGGAAGCCCCGGCCGGGCTCTCTCCCCGCTCCAGCCCGGAGGAGCCGAGCTCTCCCGCACACCGGGCCGGCCCGAAAAATAGCGCCCAGAAAAAGTCCCCTGTGCTCTGCAGTGCCCCGGGAGACAGCCGGCCCCCAGCCTCTGCTGGGTGTAAAAACAAGTCTGCAGAGCAAAACCACACCGGGACAGGAGCTCATGCCCCAGAGAGGTTTCTCCTCTCCAAGGCAGATTTCGAGCTTGCGAAAGCGTTGGAAGAGAGGCAGGAGCTTTTTCCCAAAGGACAATGTCCCTGGGACCAGCCCTACCCCCCCAGATATATCTGTCTGTCTGCTCGCCGCCCGGAGAGCACCCGCGACTTTTTCTGCTGCATCCCCGGGCTCGCATTCACCCCTCGAAGAGGCGAGCGCAGCCCTGGAGCCGCGGAGTCCCGCGGAGCCCGGACGGGCGCGGAGCCGCGGGCAGCAGCGCAGGGTCCCCGCAGCCGCTGGAGGAGGATCTGGCTATCTGTGCCGGTCATCGGGGGAGACAAATCCTGCCCACAGGACACGTGGGCGTTATCTTTTCTAATTTAAATTTTTTTTTCTCTCGTTTTATTTCTTTCCCCCCCCCTTTCTTTCCCAAAAGCAAAAGAAAACGAAAGAAACCAGGTTCCAGTTTCCGAAGAAGTAAGTAACAGTCCTGAGAGAGTCCTCGGTAGAGCCGATGCCCTGGGGGACTGGAATGGACGGGGACGGCGGCGTGCCAGCCCGTGGATGGTCCGGGATACTCGCGTCCGTGTCCGCGCCTGTGGACCGACGGACGCGCTCCGACCGAGCAGCTGTCGGCGGCGAGGAAGGCAGCGTGCGCTCGCCTCTCCGCCGCTTTCCAGACCTCTCCGTGCACCCGGGGTGGCACACACCCGGGGTGGCCGCCTGACACCCACCTTCCCCGGGGGAAGCTATCCCGTAGGGCTCGCTGAGGCGCGGGCGGCCCGGGGGAGCGGGGCCCAGCTCCCCGCCATCCCGGCGGCTCCCTGCGGCCTCCCCGGCGCTAGCGCCCGCAGCGAGCCTCTCCTCGTCACAGCTGGGCATCTTACATTTACTGTCCGGAGAACGCGAGTTTCGGAGTGGAGGCACCGCGTTTCCCCGGGGGAAGGCGCGAGTGGGTCGGCACGGCACGGCACGGCACGGCACGGCACGGCACGGCAGTGCACGGCAGAGAGAAGCTGGCGCCAGCCTCTCGGCTCTTTTCCATGTCCCATCCTTTTCCTCGTCCCGGGCCGTGGAGCTCCCCGCGGCTCACCGAGAGTCCTGCTGCCTTCTGGGGGCTAGGCTGGGGGCGAGGAGGTCCCTGGAGGCTCCCGAGGGAAGGTTCCCGGCTGGGCATGGCTGGAGATCCTCCTTGGTCTGGAGCTCCCCAGAGGACACAACGCAGTCTTGCTCGGGGTCATTGCTGTTGCCCGCCCCTCGCTTTTTGTCTTCTTCTTTCTTCCACTTCATCCGCCGGTTCTGGAACCAGATCTTGATGTGCCTCTCGGTCAAGTTCAACATGACAGCCAGTTCCACCCGCCGCGGCCTGGAGATGTACTTGTTGAAGAGAAACTCCTTCTCCAGTTCCAGCAGCTGCGCCCGCGTGTACGCCGTCCTCGTCCGCTTGTTCTCCTCCGGTTCCACCATGTAGGATCCACCTGGAGAGAAGCGAGAGTCAGCCTGGGCCCGCCCGGCCGCCCCCTCGGGCTGCGGGGACCACGTCCCACGACCCCTGCGCGGCGCGGAGGATACGCGGGGAGAAGCAAGGGGGTGAGGGGGAGTCTCGGGGAGCTCTCCTGCTGGGCAGAGTGAGGTGGTGCTGCTGGCAGCAGTCAGCGCTGCTGTTATTTTATTTTACAGTAATTTAATATTTTTTAGCAATGATTTGGATGGGGTTTTCAGGGAAGAGCCGTCTCTCGAGCCGAGGGAGAAACACACGTGCCACGGTTTGCGTGACACTGAAAGCTCAGAAAGTCTCCCGGATCCAGGGCCGCAATTGTTCACGTTCGGGTTAAAATTAATTTTCAAAAAATAATTAAAAACCAAAACTCCAAGAAAACCAACGCACCAAAGAAACCTCTCTAAAACAAAGCAAAAATAATCATTATAATGAGTGGGTCTGCCGGGTCGGGCCGGGAGTTGGACCGCAGCCGCTCCATTTCGCCAAGCTGATGAAACTTTGGGATTCTTGTTCCCGTAAAAGGCGGCAGCAGCGGGATCGCCGTTCCCAGCGCGGCCGCCGCAGTCCTGCGTGGGCCCTGGGGCACGGGCAGTACTGGCAGGCACATCGAGAAGGGCCGCAGGTGGGCACGGAAACTCAGAGCCGCCTTTGCCAGTGCCAGCCTCCCTCTGGGAACGTTTTTGGGGTTGATATCATCTGCGGGGAACGGTGCTTTAAACAGCCAGGATGAAACAATAATTTCAAGAGAGATACGTGGACTCTCCCACAGCTCATCTTCCTATTCCCATGATTCTGTATTTACATATACGGTGTTTGTAAATGTAAACCTATGTATAAAACTTATATATGTATTTAAAATATATATTTAAATACACATGTTTGCGTAGTGATGTGTATATACCTATGTGCGTGTATAAATAAATATTAAAATCAATGTATATATGTATAAAAATGCTGGTAAATCTAAGCCTATGCATGCATGAGTTTGTATCTGGAAAAAAAACACCCTTGTTTTGTTACTTTTGGAGCGGGACGGCCGGGGTCTGTGGAGGGCCGAGGTCGGTCGGGCTCCGGGACAAGGCAGAGCAGCCCGGGGCCGGGCACGGCGTGCGCCACCGGGCCGGGCCCAACGCGGCCTCCCTGGGCGCTCTGTCCTGGCAACAGCGCGAAGCCTCGCAGCCTCCACTAAATCCCAAGGGTCTCCATAAAAAAGAAACCGTCGGGCCATATCGTTTGCCACATACACGGTACAAAATACGCCGGCGTTTGGCTGTGAGCGCTCTGTCGCACTCGGCACAGCGCGGTGCACCCTTCTCTTCCTCCGGCAGGAACCCTGCACTCACATCACACCGACGGGGCCGTGCACGGCCCCTGCCTGCTCCTCCCGCCAGGGCTGGGGACAACAGGCAAGGATTTTAGGCTTCCACGGGGAAAGTTTCACTTTCCTGCTATTTTTGTCATTCTTCGGGTACAGGAGAAAGAGAGAAAAAAAAAAAAAAAAAAAAAGAGGTGTAATTCAAAAGTTTGGCGTATTATTATTATTATTATTCCCGAAATTCACTCAACTCACGGAAAACAACTTGATTTTTCTCTCTCCCTCTCCCCACCTCCGCCCTGTCACCATCCCTGCCGCCGTGTCCGCGCGCTGGGACAGCACTCTCTTCTACCTTTGTGGGCGGATGCGCCTCTAGGGACACTGGGGACCGCCACCTGTCCTTCCCTCCCCCTCGGCCTGCCCCATGCAATTCCCAAACTGTTTCGTGGAGATTTTAATACTCCGGTCCTTTTTCCAACTGTCTATTTGAACAAAGCCATTAATATAATATTTGCCGTATAGGCGTGACGGAGGCGCAGGACACGATAACATTGTGCCGGCAGAGACAGAAATATTGTTGGGCAGCGGAACTTTCTGCCTAGATAGAGTTTCTGCCCCTCACTGGCACCTCTGTTTCGTTTGTGCATTGTTTTCCGTGCCCTGTTTTTTTTCACTCGGAGAGGTGCATTTGTGGCTAAAACCCGCCGGGGAGCAGGAGGAGCGGGATAGAGGGGGGCAGGAGGGGAGATGGGCTCTGCGCCGGGGAGAGACGAGAGGCAGATGAGAGGGTCTCGGCGGCTGCCCTGAGGGCTCGGGGGCTGCTCCGCGGCCGCACGGTGGGCGCGGGGACACGGGGCAGGGGGGCTGTCCCCTCCCGCCTGCCCTCCTGCCACTTCCCCGCCCGCTCCACCTCGCAGGTGCCTCCGCCACCCGGCCCCCGCTCGGAGCTCACCGCGCCCGCGGGGACCCTGTGCTGCCCGAGGAAGCAGCTCCCGGGAGGTGTCACGACTTCCTGGCTTGGCCATAATTAGTTAATTGGTGAAAAATAATTCGTTAATAATTGCCGAGGCGCAGGGAGCGGTGAGCCCGCCGGCGGGACCGGAGCGCCGGCTCTCTCCCCGGCGTTCAACGCAACACTAGCAGCCCTAGAGCAGCAGGTCTGCTCAGGCTGGCAGAGGGGAAACGACCCTCCAGGACCGCTCCACACGACATCCGAGCGGTGGGAGCAGGGCCGGTGCAAGGGAGAGTTACTGAGCGCCGAGTGGGACAGAAGCGGGGGGTGCAGAGGGATGCTGCGGGGCTTACCAGTCCACTGTCCCTTCCAGGCGTGAGATTTGGTGGACTTCATCCAGGCGAAAGGCACCTGCACTCGGGGCTCCTCTATAGCCCCCGTGTCCGCCCCGTCTGCGAAAGGCAGCGCGTCCTGGTGGGGAGGAGGAAGATGAGGGTGGTGGTGGTGATGGTGATGAAGGTGGGAGACCCCGGCATCCTCAGTGATGGGGGGCACCTCGTAAGGTGAAATGTCTGGAGGGCTGCCTTGCTCGAGAGCCCCTAAGGCGCTGGAATAAGGAGTCTGCTGCTGCCTGCCCATGTACAGGCAGGCGGGGGGGCTGGGGTTGTAGTCCTGCGCTTGGGCTCTCTGGAACGCACACGACTCCTTGTAGAGCTGCGCCGAGGCGTAATACTGCTCCTCGGTGTTCATGGCGAGCGGGGCTAAGGGGGCTTCGCAGCTTAGGGACACATAAGGCTGCTCCCGCTGGCGGAGCCCGGGATGCCTCTTTGACAGCTGGCGGCCCCGCCGGGCCCCACCGCCCTGCCCGGCTCCCCATAGGCGCCTCTCCCCCACGTGAGCCCTCCCGCAACCCTCCGGGGCGGGGCGCGGGCCGTAGGAGGCCACCCGGAGTGGCCCTGGCCCCGCAAGCCCCTTCCTTCCCCTCAGCCGGGCCGAGCCCGAGACCCCCGACCCTTCTGCTGGGTGCTGCTCCCTGCTCTGGGCTGAGGAGTCCCGCGGCGGTGGGCTTGCGGGGCCGGCCGGGGGCTCAGGGGATTGCGCCGATGCGCGGGGCGCTCCGGGACGGATGGTGCTTAAAGTCATCTTTTCCCTGTCCCCCTCGCTTGCCCAGAAGCTGCTTATCCCCCAGTGACCCCCGGGGAGGAACACCCTCGGAGGGCCGGGGTAAACTCGGCTCCTGGAGGGGTTCAGCGACAGGGCACTTTTGGCTGTGAGGGCATCTCCTCTAGGGATGTGGGTGTCCAGGGACGGGCAGGGCGCTCCCTCGGGGGTACCCGTGTCCCGGAGCCCTGGGCGAAGGCCAGCACCGGCCGGTGGGGGACCACAATGCTATCACCACAGCGAGCGATAGGCAGCGGATTGTTTGTCCAAGAGGTAAATTTGGGAGCCTTCCCCGCGGCTTGGGCCGCAATGTGTTGACCCTCGGAGATAATGCGCTCCGAGCTGGTGCCGGTTGACTTGGTGACGAGGCTATGAGGAGGCGGAGAGCTACCGAAAGGGACAAAGATCATTTCCCTGCCTCCCTGCGCTCGGCCCGGCCGCCGCTCTCTCCTGCTCGGGTGCAGGCACGCTTCCTCTCCGCCCGGCCCTCCTCCTCCCGCCGCCGCTTCCCCGACACCGGCGCTCCGGCCGCCTTCGTCGGGGTGCGCTCCCTCGGCCTGTGTAGGGCGGGTGCGAGTGGCCCGACTTGGCCCGGCCCGGCCCGGCTCGGCTCGGCACGGCCCGGCTCGGCTCGGCTCGGCTCGGCCAGTGCTGATGCACGCCCTGAGCGGCGAGGCAGGAGGGTCCCGATCCCTCGCTCCTGCGCCCTGTTCCGTGGGATCATAAACCCGCCCAGTCCATTACGCTTTGAGTTTCCGCTCTGGACTCACGCGGGTCCCCCATCTCTTAGAAAGCACACTGAGCCTTTGATTCAATATTGAGCCATTAAGCGATTGCTTTCCCAAGCCATTTAACAGCAGCTCTTATGGATAAATAAACAAAAAAGGCTGTAAACCAATTATAGTGTGGATAGTGAAAAAGTATTTTATTAGCAGGAATTACAGATAGACATGGCTGCTGCTCAGGCTCCCTGCGCCCCGCACCAGCCCCCTCCATCCCCTGGCATTCCGGGCAGGACAGGCGGCCCGGCGGGGCTCGCAGACAGTGTGCGGCCAGCGGGATGCGCGGCTCCCTTCGTGGTGGTTCTCCCATCCGCGCTCACGATGCCTCCACTCAGGTGTCTTGCAGGCACGGGTGTCCTTTGATCCGGAGACGTCTTGTGCCCCGACCCCAGAGCAGCACCGACAGCCCCTTCCCCAGAGATGTGTTACCTGCAGCATTTACTGCTCCGGGTTTTCCACGGGGAACCGGCGCGGACAAACAAAACCGAGGCCATAAAACCCAGAGCAAATTGATTCATCTCCTGGGAGGACCATTACCCGGTGTCTTAATGCAGTCCTTTCTCTATAACGAACGTTTCTAAACAGAGCAAACACTTCACCATCCAAAGCAAATGAATTTCGTATAATTTAGAGCTAATTCTCTTTCATTCTGCCTGCATGAACAGGCGATAAGGGCACGCTTTGCCGTTCTGACAACAAGGTGGCGAGCTGCAGTGCAGGAAAAGGGTATCCCGGCACTGGGGACCTCGGCCACGTCCTGGGGGTGGTGATGTCCGGCAGCCCGGAGTTCCTGAGGGAGGTGAGCCCGGCTGGAGTCTGATCCCAGGGGTCACCTCTGCCTGCCTCCTCGACCTGGGATGCAATCACTGATACTTGGCTTGAGTCCTTACACAGCTGAGGGTTCCCAGGAGAAGTTTCTGAGCAGCGAATGCATCCCACCGGAGCGGGAAATGATCCACTTGATGTGGGAAATGGGTGATGGAGGAGGCCGATGGGAATGACGGGAACGGCCAGTGACGGGAATGGCCCACTTGCCCCGGAACTGGGCTCTGCAGACACAAATCCGTCCCTGAAAGTGGTCAATATGCATCCCTGAGAGAATTGCAGTAGGGTGTGCATACAATAGTAAGGAGCATAGTTCAGTCCCACTTCCTAAAGTTGTCTGGTTAGATTTTCTCTGTCTGTATAATACTTAACGACTTCGCAGTGTGCAAACCCTTTTCTGGAATCCACATTCAGACAAAAAAGAAGTATTGAAGGTGAGTGGAGCATATTCACAATAATCTCTTTTTCTCTCCCATCTGTGCTCAAACCAACACGTGTAAACTCTATCCATGGCAAGGGACCTCAGTGAGAGAAGGTGACTGGGAAACAGAACTTTCCCAGGGATTGATTTTTAACCCCCCACCATGGCTGTATCTAGCAGAAAGGTAACCTTTCACAAAGCTGGTTAATAATCAATAACCATGTGAAAACAAATCTGTCTTTCCCCCTTAGAGCTAACGATAAAAATGAGAGCACAAACTATTCCACCTGCCCCAAAGTAAGACTGGTTCATCAGCTTTTTTTTTTTGGCAAGAAGCTTTTTTAGCCCTCTAAGCGATTCAGCATTGGCACACAGCAGGTTCAGTTTGCTCTTCCCACCACACATCAGCTTCTTCACACTGCAGGTGTGAGAGAAGAGAGCTTGAACTGCGGGAAGACATGTTTACGCAACCATTTTAAACAAGACCTTGTCCAGGAAATATACAGGGAATTTGCCTTGGGAAATCTGCGAATAGTAAAGACGTTTATATATGTAGTCTCTTTTTAGACTTTCTAATATACACCTTTGAATTTTTTTACATCTTTCCCAAAATTAATTCTTTCATTATGACCAGGGAAGCATACTTTCACTGTCTTGTAAGAAGAGCTGAGGAATTACTTTTGAATACTGTGAACCTTCCTGCTGAAACACAGCTGTTTCATGTTGTTTGTCCCACACAGTTTTCTGTTTTCTACTCAGTGTTTACTATACCAGATTGGAGTAGAAAAATATCAATATGTATATTTATTTATTTATTTATCCAGAAAGTTACAGCTGGAGGAATCCAGGCTAGAATCATCAGCCTGAAAGAACTCCTCCTCACATCCCCCAGCTGCTTGATTTTTCTCCTAGACCCAGGCTCTTTGGGGCACATGAGGTTTGGGGCTCAGACAGAACCTGGCCAGGCAAGTGGCACCTGGCAGTTCTCACCACAGTCCTCCCCTTTTGTTTGTCCATTGGAATTTTGCTGGACTTCAACCATTTGAGCTGAAATTTTCCATTCTGTATCTCTACCTCTTACCAAACATGCAGGGAAACTTTCCTTAAAATTGTTTGGACTGGTGTAAAGTGAAGCTGGGAAACTGTGACACACAGTAGATGCCCATGACTACTAGGGAGGGTGTGGAATCACTGCCTCCTTTGCAAGGCTCTGAAAGCAAAAGTGATGGTGTATGGATGATCCCAAATGAGTAGAGGACAGGAACAGCTGAGATTTGGAGACAGCAACCCTGCACAGAATTTTCCTGCTCTGTTTTCTTAGCTGCTGTGTTTCTTTGCTGGATTTAAGTATGTTAGAATTCCTGCTGGGATGTTGTCCCACACCGATGTCTCTCCAGACCAGTATCTCTGTGCAAAGCTGCCTACATTTAATCAAACTTTGAACTGCTGCACATCACACAGGTTCCACAGATACATCTTAAAGCTCAGCAGCCAAGTCCTTTATGTGTTCACAACAGTAAGCAGATCCTTGGCCTGGACCTGAGGACTGAGTGAGAGCGCATCGTGTGGAGAGCTGCGATATTGAGCCCTGCAGAGAAAAGCTGGGAGGCATTCCTCACACTCCATCCTCCAGCCCTGGGCACAGAGGAAGAAGGTGATTTATGCAAAAGACACACAAGGTGAACACCCTTCAGAGAAAAGCATTTGAAGTCTACTCCCTGCCCGCAGTGAAAAATATGGGTCTGGAGGCCAGGAGAGAGGGAGGCTGTGCTCTCACCATCCCTCTGCCCAAGAGGGAAGCAGGACCTGGGCTGTGCTCCAGCAGGGCTGACCAAAGGGACATGATATAACCTTGGTCAATCTCTTGGGTAAAATTTTCCAGAATGGGTTTCCAGAAAGCAAACACCTTTCTTTTCTGGGCAGCTGGTCTGCAGCAGCTCAAGGTACTCTCAAGAGAAGGGGAAGCTTTTGGGGAGTCTGGCTGTGAACACCCAATGACACAAGAACTGGGCTCTGGAAGTGTCTTGACCCCCTCCAGTGCTGTCCACACAGGCTTTTTCTTAGCTCCAGTAGCACTTCTGAGCACTTCAAGTCAACACTAAGAGCTAGGGGAGACCTTTTAGCCTTGTGACACTTGATGTAACATGGATTTCAGAAGGTTATGAAATGACTGAAATTCGTTTGGAAATCAAGGCATCAGATTTCATTCTTCCCTCTATAACTGATACCACATAATCTCTGGAGGTGCTGTGTACCTTTCAAACTCCACAGAGGGAAGTGCTAGGAAGAAATTCACAAGAAAACCCATCCCTCTGTCCTCTGAGCAGGGGTGCCCTAAAATCAACAGTAAGTCTTGGACTCAAGGACCTACAGAGGCAAAGTAGAACAAACACAGCATTCTTTTACTTGAGTTTGTCTATAACCTGCTGCAGATAAGAGAAGAGCCCTGGGGAGGAAGAGGAGGAGGTCAGCAGACAAAATGCTGTGTCACAGAGTACATAGATGTGGTATCAGCTGAAGCTGTTCCTTGCTTGTATTTCCTTGCCTATGTAATACACTGC